CCAATATAGAGCCAAATGTAATTTGGTAGTTATTGTAATCTAGACCGGTGAGAAAAATGTTCATCTTATTGAAGTCAATAGATCAAACAATGCTGACGCATATATAAAAAACGAATTGATCGTTCATGTTTCAGTTAGCCATAGCTTTAATAATTTTAATACACATTCGCATATGTTGTGGGGAATTCATATTTTACGAATTTGCAATTTCCAAATTGTCCATTACTTGACCATTTGTTATACCGCCAGTCACATGTCTTCACGTGAAGAGCCAACTGTTCTCACTGTGAGCTGGCCTTGACAATACGTCATCTAGGTTTAGTGTATTTCTGCTTTTTTCAATTGTGTATTTCTCATTTATTCATTTAATTCAACCTCAGTATTCGATCAGGTATTTCCCGGACATGTTCAAGCATGCAAAATGATTTCATTACACAATAGCGGTTAACTATTGATAATTGTATCTTGGAGGGGAGTACTGAAGAGATATGCATTCCCCCACGTTATTAGTCCATTTCGCTTTAGTTTCAGGCTTGAAATTGAATGTAGGCAAGACAAAGGCTGTTTGGTTTGGGTCAAAAAAGGGATGCAGTGACAGAATATGCCCCACATTCAATTTAATATGGTTAGAAAATAATTTTGAATTATTGGGACTGATCTTCGACTTAAATTTAGAAAACATGGTGGTTTTAAGTTATGAAAATAAATTGAGAAAAATTTCTTCCTTGTTTGCTTCATGGGGCTGTAGACCACTGTCTCTTTTGGGTAAAGTTACAATTGTTAAAAATCTTGCAATCTCACAACTAATCCATTTATTTTCCTCCTTGCCATCTCCTCCTAGTGCACTTATGAATCGTCTTAATGCAATTATTAATCGATTTATTTGGAGTGGTAGGCGAGCTAAAATATCCAGGGCTACTCTCAGTCGTGGTTTTGAATATGGTGGTTTAAATTTACCTAATTTAACACTATTTTCCAAGGCGTTAAAATTGACTTGGATTAAAAAGTCCCAAGAAAAAAGTGCTCACCCGTGGAAAATACTTTATTTTAATATTTTTAGGAAAATTGGACATTATAAGATTTGGGAAGCAGATGTAAATTTTATTAAAAAGTATATTACTTCAATTAAAAATAACTTTTGGTCGGAAATAATGAACATTTGGCATTCTTGTATAAATCATCAAAAATTTAATTATCAAAGTCAGGTTTTGTGGCATAATTCAAATATGCTATAAAAGATGATTATGTCAACAGGAGGTTGTGGCAGGAAAAGAATGTTTGGTATGTCAATGATTTACTAGGAGATGATGGCCATTTTTAAGTTATGAACATTTTAAGTGTAAATACGACTGCAATGTTAATTTTTTTGAATTTCAATCTGTGTTAAAAGCTATTCCCAGGTCATGGAAAAAGGAGTTGCAGGAGAATCCTAAGAAATTAAATTCTATCCTTAATGTTAGAGACAAAACTAAACCTCACAAAAAAATGTATTCGGATTTGGTTGGGAAAAATGTACCTCCTTTGGGCTGTCAAAATAAATGGGAAAAACGGCTTGAAATTCAAATTCCGGACGAAGATTGGAAACCCATTTTTAAACTACCATTTCTCTGTACATTTGATTCCTGGCTGCAGGCATTTCATTATAAATTTTTACATAGGGCAATTTACACAAATAACACTTTGTGTTTATGGAAATTAGTTGATAGTACATTGTGCACTTTTTGTAACGCTGATATTGAAAATGTACTATTACTAGGATATTTTGAGGAAAATGTCAGCAACTCTGGAAAAAATGGACAAACGTTGATATTTTATTGTCTGACAGGGATATTTGTTTTGGAATACACGGCAGTTTTTATTGTAATCTTCTCAACCTTTTTATTTTAATTTGTAAAGAGCACCTCTATTCTGAATCGAAAAGAGGTTCTGTCCCAAATGTGGAAGTCGTGGAGAGTATAATGTTAAACACTCGTATTGTAGAGCGACAAATAGCTATCAATAATGGTTCAATGTCTAAATTTAATGAAAAATGAAACAATTTTAATTATGATTAAATCACTTACTAGCCAGATTTGTCAGCTTATCAATAATGTTCCCCCCACTTCCACTTTCTTTAAGCCATCCACTTTTCCTTTTTTGTAATTTTTTCTTTCTTTTTTTGTAAATGTATTTATTTAAAGTAATAAAACAAATTAAAAAAAAAAACGTTATTAGTCCATTGATTGTGGATATAATAAAGCAGGTAAGCGTCGGCTGGTGTTAGATTATAGGAACGTTATTTTTTGTCCTTGTTCAAATTCAACGTTCGTTAACAATCAAGAAATTTGCGTATATAAAGAATGGAAACACAATTATAGGCAATGAAGGGTCACTTTCGTATTTTTTCCTTATTTGTTTTGAATGTTTGCTTAGAGTCCTGTTTATACAATTACCTGGTCGCATGTTACAGTGGGTTACGATTATCCAACCATCCATCTTTTTATTGATAGTCTATCCAAGCATAATTGTTGTTGAATCTAGAGAAGACTCTGTATCTGTAGAAATGTTTTGAAGTCGCTTTGTAAGAAATACTCATGTACAGTTTTGTTAATTTCAAGAGTTTTTAATTTGCTATGTTATTTACGAAAACCACAATTTATTTTTTATTTTTCAGTTAAACTGAGCAGTACAAACAGGGTAATACAGTCGTTATTTCTATACTCGATTGAGTTGCGTGCCCTGTAAAAATGTTACGGAGATGTGTCGACACTGCATCCGTTATATTCACGTCATCTGAATATCTTTTAGGTCAAGCGTCTTCGTGAAGTGCGTGGCGATGATGCTTTAGAGTTTGGCATTCATTCTTTGCGGACAGGAGGTGCAACTGCCGCATCTAACGCAGGTTTAGGGACAGGGCCAGGGCCGGGGCCAAGGCCGGTCATATACCGCGAAAGATGGCGTTGCTGTTGACTCGCTGACTAGTCATTTGTCAATTTCGCAAACTTTGTAGGTGTACGGGCCCGTTCTTTTTTATCTACGTGGCCGCACCTGGCATGAACCTTACGTTATGTAAGTGTGTGTGTGTGTGTTGTACATTATCGGATGTGACGAGTCTAGTAAAGACATATTGTTAACCGCGTTTCGCAGTATAGCGGTTAACTATTCGTGATGGCAAACAGACGGGTATGGTATGTGGGGTCATGTGACAAGGGGTATTTAAGTGGAGGACAGAAGGTTGAATGTCAATCTAGGCCAGTCTCGCTACAGTGCAGTTTTCAACTGGTTGTTTTGTAAGTTTGTTAATGCTTGTTGTATAATACAGGGCGACACCCGCCACCTTCCCCTGGGCACATTCGACAGTGCGACGGGTACAGGTTTCCAGGTATTTTTTGTCCCCAAAGGGGTTCGTTTTATTCCTGGTTTTTCCTGGGCGGTCGGCGTGCCAGTAACGGGGGTTACTATTTTGTCGATGTTTTTGTCAGTTATTTTAACTATTTCTTTGACCAAGTAATGTTAATGCCATTTGCCGAGCATCAATAGTCGATCTTTTTTGCAGTCCATGCAAGATATTTTTTCTCTCATTTAGTTAATTTCAATTTGAACACTACATGCAATGTAATAGCAGCCGTTTTTTAGTCGGCTTTTTTAGTGTGTTTTGTTAAATAAATGGTTCGCCGCACCGACTGCACATACGTGGCCGCACCTGGCATGAACCTTACGTTATGTAAGTGTGTGTGTGTGTGTTGTACATTATCGGATGTGACGAGTCTAGTAAAGACGGTCCTAAAATGCCAGAGAGCATACACGATGAACAAATAAGTATTGTGCTATGGACTTTTCTTGTTCTCTTGTCGTTCTTATATAATTACATGCTCATATTATGTTTTATATGACTAAAATCAAAATCATATACATCTATTTTGCAGTCCGTCTAACACTGAATCTTACAAAATTATGTAATATACTTGTTCACGAGAAGTCCAGGTATCACTTATTCTAAGACCTATTTGTACACTGTTATTCCTTATTTCAATAATAGCAATCCAGTTGGCCATGCGTACTCTTATTCAAATAATCTAATGCAGAATATAACTTGCCTTTAATTCTCGAGAAAGAAGTGTATTCAAACGTGAGGTGTTTCTTGCACTCTGTGTGCTGAATATAGCATTTGTATACTAATCAAAGATGAGATACACACCATGAAACATGTAGAGGCATTACAATACAAATCTAAACTATCCAATTCAACTCACAATCACGCAACTTCGAATATTATACACGATATTGAAATACGATATGTTTTACATATAATGTATTTGTTAAATATTTAAAAGTGATTTCAGCATTCACCATGAATAAAATCATAATAATTTTTCTAATATCAAGGTACGTGAAACCTATACAGAAGCAATAATTCTGAAATTACGCGATCATATGTATGTCAAAACACAACGAAATTGCAATTGAGCCTGGCCTTGTTTAAATAACGTGAACGTATTTACAAAGCAGAGCTAAGAGTCTTGCTGTGAAAATACATGTAGTGATTCCATCGAAAGGTACAACGTGTCAAGCCTCCTTTTATTTTTAATACGCAACTAAAATGTGAAGCATAGAGGCATTGCTTCATCAACGTCGAGGAGTTTCCAACCATGCACAGCTTATTCAAATAGTATAATACATCTATTCAATGAGCATGCATGTGGATTATATGTCGATGATGACCTATGACAGTGTTCGTCCATCTCATTGTTACACTGATGTAATGTTGTTATCTGATATGTGAACATCGTATTTGTTCCTGCCATCTGGCGCATGAGTCATGGTCATTGCTATAAATAAATCACTTGTACTTTAGCATTGAAACGGGTTGTATCTAGTCTTACTTGCTCCCCATTACCCAGGCATTGTTATACGGGGTTGTCAATACGTTACATTGGCGACGAGGATGGGATACGGGCTGAACAGTCTCGTCTATGTGTAGCTTTACTTGGAAAACTTGGAAACGACGGATTCAGGAACTTATGGCGTCCGAAAGCATCCCTCACTATGAACCATTCCAAGTCCACGAGGAACCTAGCACCTGTGGAAAAAGGTGGGAGGAATGGTTGGAAGGATTTCAAATCATGATGATCGCGTGTGACATCACGAGCACTAAGAGACAACGAGCTCTACTTATCCACTACGCGGGGAAAGAAGTACGACGTGAAATCAAAGCACTCCCAGACACCGGCGAAGAAGACGATGTCAAGAAACTCATCGAAGCTCTCAACAAACGTTTTGCTCCAAAACGAACGAAAGCGTACGAAAAACACGTGTTTCGTCAAGCAAAGCAAAAATATGGTGAGTCGACGGATCAGTACCACGCCCGGTTACAACTTCTTGTGGCAAACTGCAATTATGCCAACCCTGACGAGGAAGTTTGCACACAAATCATTGAACACTGTACGTCGCAAAGACTAAGACGGCGAGCATTGAGAGAAGACATGAAGCTAGAAGACTTGTTAAACTTTGCCAGAACGATGGAAGTCTCTGAGTCTCACGCTGCGGACATCGAGGGCAACATGCATGCGTCAACAGTCAACGCAATTAGCCGAGGCTTCAAGTCTAAACATAATAAACGTGGAAAACCAAAACGGGTGGCCGTCAATGAATCGCGATCAACCTCTCGATTATGCTACTTTTGTGGAGGCGATTATCCTCATGACGGACCGTGCCCTGCAAAATGCAAGAAATATAAATCATGCGGGAAAGATGGACATTTTGCCAAAGTTTGCAGATCCAAACCAAACAAGGAAAGAGACCGCAAACCAAAACGATCTATAAGGCGAGTTGACGCTGACACAGATTCGAGTAGTGAGTCCAGCCAAGAAACCGACCAAGTGACATACGTATTCGGTATACGCACGGAAACTATTCACGCAACCAAGGCAAAGTTTCAAACAGCTGACATCACAATTCACGGTAAGGAAATTAAATTCTTGATTGATACTGGTGCAGCGATCAACATAATGGATGAAAGTGACTTTGAAAAGCTTAACGGGAAAGTCAAGTTGAGACGGACTTATACAAAAGTATTTCCATACAAGAGTCAATATCCAATCGAAACCCTAGGCGAATTCCGGACAGACATCAAATGTAAAACGAATAATGGAAGAAAATCGCTATCGAATATATTAGTTCATGTCGTCAAGCGCAACGGTAATTTCGGGGAATCGCTACTAAGTTTTCAGACAGCAGAAGATTTGGGACTCGTACAAATAATTAAACAAGTCGGGGGACAGACCGTAACAGACAAGCTAGTAAGCGAATACAATGATTTATTCACAGGCCTAGGCAAAATGACAGATTTCCATAAAAGCTACACATAGACGAGACTGTTCAGCCCGTAGCCCAACCGCATCGTCGCATTCCGTTTCATATTCGCGAAAAAGTCGAAAAGAAAATTGCAGAAATGGAAGCCGCCGACATAATCGAAAAGGTCGACGAAGCAACACCATGGATATCGTCAATTGTTGTTGTTCCTAAACCAAAGAATCCAGACGATATACGGATATGTATTGACATCGACGCGCGAATGAAGCCGTCAAACGCGAGTGACACATCATGCCGACGACTGATGAAATCATTCAAGATCTGAACAACTCCACAGTGTTTTCCAAACTTGATCTGAATCAAGGCTATCATCAACTCGAACTAACACCGGCATCGAAGTATATTACTACGTTTAGTACACACGTTGGTTTACGCCGTTATAAGCGACTCAATTTTGGAATATCATCGGCATCAGAAATATTCCAAAATGCTATTAGACAAGCAATCGAACATTAGCGATGATATACTCATACACGGAAAAACGCAGGAAGACCATCAAAACAGTCTGAAAGCTGTATTCCAACGACTACGCGAAAGAAAACTTACTCTAAACAAACGAAAATGTGAATTCAACAAATCAAATCTCATATTCTATGGTCATCGATTTTCAGCGGAAGGTATGTCACCAGACCCAGATAAAGTCGCGGCTGTCAAGAATGCCGAAGCCCCAACAAACGCAACTGAGGTAAGAAGTTTACTCGGTATGGTAACATATTTCTCACGATTTATACCCGACCTAGCGACTATTACGCAACCCCTTCGATTATTAACCGTAAAAGACGCGGTATGGGAATGGTCGAGCACTCATCGTAATGCGCTCGACACGATCAAAGATCGATTAACATGCAATTCATTCATGGCATACTTTGATCCGAATAAAGACACTGAAATCGTAGTAGACGCAAGCCCTGTTGGTCTAGGAGCAATGCTCACTCAGAAAAATGGTGATGAAGACGCACCACGAGTTCTGAGTTACGCGAGCAGATCACTTACTCCAGTCGAACAGAGATATTCTCAGACAAACGCGAGGCGTTAGCTGTTGTATGGGCTTGTGAGCATTATCATTTATACGTATATTGCAAACCTGTAAGCATAGTAACCGATCACAAACCGCTTGAACGTCTCTACAACAATCCAAACGCTAAACCGCCAGCCAGAATCGAGAGATGGGCTCTACGGTTACAAGACTGTTTATTCAAGATCGTGTATAGGCCGGGAAAAGACAATCCAGCTGATTACATGTCGAGACACCCGAACACGAAAAGCACGCCAAACAGGAGACAAGAGAAAGTCACTGAAGAATATATCAACTTTATCGCTGGTCATGCAGCACCCACGGCGCTAACCTTGGATGAAATCAAAGAAGAAACGAAATCTGATCCTGCACTGCAAGCCGTAACCATGGCGATTAAAACTGGTAGATGGTACGACCACACGAATTCTTCAGACATCGATTCTACAGACATCGACCGAATTTCTTTCGAAATGCTGCGAAAAGAAAGAGAAACACTAACACTGGTGTCAACTCAAGATCTAATTTTACGCGGATCACGAATTATCATTCCGAAATCGTTACAAGAGCGGACAGTTAGTCTTGCCCACACCAGGGTGTAGTCAAAACGAAAAGATTACTGAGAGAAAAAGTTTATTTTCCCAACATTGACAAGCTGGTGGAAAATAAAATCAAAACCTGCTTAGCCTGTCAAGCCGCCACACCACAAAATAGGCGCGAACCGTTACAAATGACGTCACTTCCTGACTACGCATGGCAACACGTGTTGATGGACTTCTGTGGGCCGTTCCCCAGCGGAGATTATTTACTCGTGATAATAGATAACTATTCCAGATTTGTTGTTGTTGAAATAATACGATCTACTTCATCGCGAATCGTAATTCCGATACTCGACAATGTATTCTCGGAATATGGTATCCCTGAAATCGCAACATCAGACAATGGACCGCCGTTCCAGGGCAACGAGTTTAGAGACTTTGCAAGACATTTTGGTTTTAAACACCGTAAAGTTACTCCCCTATGGCCACAGGCAAACGGAGAGGCGGAACGAATGATGAGAACCCTAGGAAAAGCCATCCGCACAGCGCAAGTTGAAGGGAAGTCGTGGAAACACGAAATGTACACATTTCTGAGAAATTATCGTGCGACACCACACAGCTCTACTGGTATATGCCCAGCTACAGAGGTATTTCAACGTCCAATAAACATAAAATTGCCGACTTCTAAGAAGCGGGGGAAAATACAACTTCGGGATAAAACTTCAAAACAAAAGATGAAGAAATACGCAGATAAGAGCCGAAATGCGAAAAAGTCGGAAATAAGAGTAGGTGATTCCGTTCTCGTTAAAAACACAAAGAGAGGAAAACTGGAAACGCCGTTTCTCGCCAAGCCATATGAGGTCACAGTACAGAAAGGAAGTATGATAAAAGCTAAACGCGGTGCACACAATATTACGTGCAATTCGTCATTTTTCAAATTAATACCTAAAGTTGAAATTGATCACCGCGTCAGCGATCGAGATACTGCCATCTCTGAGGATGAAGAGGAAATTTCTCCTGTACCAATGTTATCCCCCGGGACACCACGATCGCCCATGGCTGATGATAAACCTCTAACACCAGAAAGGAGATACCCGACTAGACAACGAAATCCCCCAAAATACTTGGGATGGGAAAAATGAGATAAAGTAACAGTCAGATAGTATAGATAATTAGCTTCATAGGAAGTACTTAAGTCATTGTGATGGAGCAGAATAAACCTCCAGACTTAGTATATCGAGAAAGGAAAAGTCTATCCTTATCTCATAGTTAGTTTTGTTGTTTTAAACTTTGTATTCTTTCAAACATTTTTACAGTCTAGTTAGCAAGCAATCACGAGTTGAGTTTTGGAACAATGCAGACTCTAGATACTGAAATGCGAAACGTGTTGAACTTTTATTAAGATAAAGAGAGATGTAATGTTGTTATCTGATATGTAAACATCGTATTTGTTCCTGCCATCTGGCGCATGAGTCATGGTCATTGCTATAAATAAATCACTTGTACTTTAGCATTGAAACGGGTTGTATCAAGTCTTACTTGCTCCCCATTACCCAGGCATTGTTATACGGAGTTGTCAATACGTTACAACTAGTATATTACGTATTTATGAGATGTATACGTGTTTTCAGCGTTTAACTTTAACTCAGTTTCTAGGTTTTATGTGAAATAAGACCTTTTTTATTCAAGTTGGTTCTGAATACAGTAAGATTTTTGTTTAAATCGAACAGTTGTCCAAAAATCTTTAACATGCTAGAATTCCTAAAGCACTTATGAGAACACTACATTACAGACTTTTTGTTTTTGACATTGTGAAATTCATTGTTTCGTACGGAAACAAAATAACTGATTTTTACAATAAAATTAAGAACTATATTCATGTCATGACGAAAATTTCATATGCAGACCAATGATAATTTCCATAATTACTGATTATATAAGAATATTACAGAAAGAAAATATTTCGCTCTATTTTATATTTTTGCATGATTTTACTGAACTATTACGCATTAAAACGTGGAATTTTACACTTACCATATAAGTAGCCAATTCAAGCATGTAACATAGCAATAATAGAAAAAAACACTCTTATATGTTTTTTAGTGGCACATATATTATTTATATTTTTCTATTATTATTTCTGAAACACAATGCTGTTAATATTGTTTCGCCTACTGCACTCCAATATTCGATATCGTTATGGTATTAATGTTCTCATTGATTTGAAACATTCACAGAAAAGAAGTATTCGGAGACGTCCAGTCTGACAGCGCAAAATACGATTCTTGTAAAAATAAAATTGCCGATATTACTTTGTATTAAGCAGATGGTGCTTTAGGGAATGTGAAATGACGCGCACAATATAGTATGGCTGCAATTGAAAGTTGATTATATGTGAATATGTAAGCAGACTTATATGAATAAGCCCATAATTGTGCGTATAAAAAGTTGATTTTCTTACCTAAATAACGTGGAGCATTGTAGTGTTTTATAGTTTTAATAATTCTGACCGCAACCGTAAGCGGTGTATGACGTTCGCAAGAGGTAACTATCAACATTGCTGTTTCCCATAGCAACAAGTTTTAATGAAACAATGAAAATAGATCAGAGATCCAACCGCAATTGAAAATCTCCAGGAACAATAATATCACATGTTTGCCTACAATAGCACAGTACTGTACCCAAACCACATACTGATCCTTCTCTAAAAATATTAAAGTGTGAGTCACACCGTAGTTGGCCTTTCCAATTAAAGCAAAAATTATTTCAGATACTAACAAGATTTTGATTCTGCACAATACCTTAGACATATGTCTATATTAAACTGGGTCAAAAACAGAAATAACAAAAAATAAGACTAATCTCAACATTAGAATGCCAAACGCACAGAGAATCTGTAAATATAATGGAAATAAAGTGGAATGTTCATAATAAAATTGACACATGATGCTCAGTATCAGGAACTCCCCGTGAGTGTGTAAAATAAACATGAAACCATCAAAAAAGCATAGAAGTTACAAAATAAAATTATAGAGATAGAGTAAAACATTCAGGGACTGAATATTTGGCGACGACTAGTTTAAATTACTTTTATCTTGACCCCAGACGTACACGCATATTACCAAAAACGATTACATCCCTGAACTACTACAGTATACTGGCACAAATGTTCTCAAATATGTATGTTGTCAGAATCCTTTGTTCTATGTTTGTTATATTACCTAAAACCTTGCAAATTGAAGTGTGCATGGAATCATGGAAAGAAACGGTATGCATTGCCATGTGATAACTGTCATAAAGGTGATTGACAGGTCATACGTGTTTACAACTCTTGAGGGACAATTGGAATCTACCAGGTGTGCTAGTGATTTACATAACAAATGATGACGATCTACTGATTTGCCTACGTGAGCGTCTGCATGTCTGCGTGTCTTCGTGAGACAGC